TGAGAACTAGCTTTCTGTATTAGAAGTTTTTAAACTATTTTGTTCCACGGTTTTATAATCGTTAGTATTTATATTTAAAGAGTAGTGTTGGTCTAGTGGCTGCTGCGTGCGACTCTCATCCCTGAGGTAGGTTCAATTCCGGTTGTTTAACATTCGCTCAAACCGTGAAGGAAAACCTACTTGCCTATTAGACATGACAAATGATCATGACACAGATACAGAAATCTGAGGCCGAGACCTAAAAAGGTTGTAGCTCCACTGATTCATTTTATTTTAATTATTTATATGATTGAGAAGTGGTGACTGAGTTGTTATGCATATGATTTTCAACCCTGTAGTCTGGTGTTCAAATCCCGACTGTGCACCAATAAATGTTTCTATGCGACCAATGTTCACTTGCACAAAGATAAACATCGAGGATGTGTGTCAGGTACAGAAGGCTGCTAAATAAAAAAATAGATGCAACATGAGGTCAAGCCACAATAGCTTATGTATAAATATTATTAAATACTCGATCGTTTAATAGGAATTTCATATCGAATAGTTTCGGAAAAGTCTGTATTGCGGTTGCTATTCAATATAGTTTTTTGCGTAATACTGAAAGGTTTGTGTGCATATTATTTCAGTTCACAACAGCACATATAAATTCTCTATAAATTTCCGTTCTCTACTATAAAAAATAAGGTATAAAATTAATTTTTGGTTTCTATTATTATGTTAATAAAGCTGTCCAAAGATATTTTGATAAGGTGTCTATTATAGAGGAGAAAGGACATTAATTATAACTGTGTAATAAACGAATTCAGTTGATGCATACGTTGAGTGTAAGAACAAAAATTACGGCCGAAGATCGCCGTGTATTTGACGTTTTTATTTATAAATGTTTGTGTTATATCAACTTTTACTTTGTAAAGGGTAAGTCTTCTTAAATTAATTTAGGGATTAGTTTTTTGAAGTTATTTAAAATATTTTTTAGCTTTGAAAAATGCCCTATAAGGTGTACCAGATACATGTGTTAAACATTACCACATTAAAAAAGTCCTCCTGGCGACCTTTATTCATTTAAGTAAATGTTTTTTGTCAATTTTCAGTCATTATAGTAGGGAGGTAGCAACGTTTGAAAAAAAAGAATTTTAGGTCAGCTGATTTTGTGATATGTCTTCCTTCTTGCACTTCGTTAGAGTCTGGGCAATCTGTGGCGGTAGGGTTGGTTCATTAGTGCGCATCCTATCTGTCAGGTAATAATCCTATTTTAAAAGATTTTAAAACGTAATTTATTTTTCCTTTTAAATACGTCACCTACATACTTTTTTATTGCCAGACATTTTTCACGTTGCTAACTATGTGCCAGACGCGATTTTAAGTTTTATTTTTATAAAAATTTCAAAGCATTTTAGAATGTCTGTAATTTTAATATTATGTTATTTAAATATAAGAAAAACTGAAAATGAATTTGCCAGACATTAATTCGATTGTTAAGCCTTAAATTAAAATGATAAAGTATTGCAGTATGATGAAGCATTGCATTTTAAGAAGCGTAATTTTTGATTTTTCCTTTTTAAATACGTCTACCTAACATACTTTTTTTATTGCCAGACATTTTTCACGTTGCTAACTATGTGCCAGACGAGATTTTAAGTTTTATTTTTATAAAAATTTCAAAGCATATTAGAATGTCTGTAATTTTAATATTATGTTATTTAAATATAAGAAAAACTGAAAATGAATTTGCCAGACATTAATTCGATTGTTAAGCCTTGAATTAAAATGATAAAGTAGATATATAAGATATTTTAAAAGCGTAATTTTTATTTTCCTTTTTAAATACGTCTACCTGACATACTTTTTTATTGCCAGACATTTTTCACGTTGCTAACTATGTCCAGACGCGATTTTAAGTTTTATTTTTATAAAAATTTCAAAGCATTTTAGAATGTCTGTAATTTTAATATTATGTTATTTAAATATAAGAAAAACTGAAAATGAATTTCAGACATTAATTCGATTTTAATCTTGAATTAAAATGAAAAGTATTGATATGATAAGCATTGCATTTTAAGAAGCGTAATGATTTTTCCTTTTAAATAGTCTACCTGACATACTTTTTTATTGAAAATTTTTCAGTTGTAACTATGGAGAGAATTTTAAGTTTTATTTTTATAAAAATTTAAAGCATTTTAGAATGTCTGTAATTTTAATACTATGTTATTTAAATATAAGAAAAACTGAAAATGAATTTGCAGACATTATCGATTGTTAAGCCTTGAATTAAAATGTAAAAGTCATGAAAAGTATTGCAGTATAATGTTGTAGTACGAGCATAAAAATAAAATTTGATTAAAATTAATAATCAACACTTTATTTAAATTGTCCTAATTACTAAATGTAAGTTATGAATAATTAATATTAAGTTTTCAAGTTGTTTTAGCCTATAGTACGTCAAAAAAAGATAAAAAAAGTAAAAAATACAAAACTAAACAAACTTTTTAACTTTTGCAAACTTTTTTTCACAAAGTCATAACTTAATTTAGTAATTAGGACAATTTAAATAAAGTGTTGATTATTAATTTTAATCAAATTTTATATTCCTTTTTATGCTCGTATTACAAGCATTATCGAATACTTTTCATGACTTTTACATTTTAATTCAAGACTTAACAATCGAATTAATTCTGGCAAATTCATTTTCATTTTTCTTATATTTAAATAACATAATATTAAAATTACAGACATTCTAAAATGCTTTAAATTTTTATAAAAATAAAACTTAAAATCGGTCTGGAATATTAGCAACTGAAAAATTCTGAAAAAAAATATAGGTAACTATTTAAAAAGGAAAAATCAAAATTACGTTCTTAAAATGAATGCTTCATCATACTGCAATACTTTATCATTTTAATTCAAGTAACAATCGAATTAATTTAAATCATTATTTTTTTAATTTAAATAACATAATATTAAAATTACAGACATTCTAAAATGCTTTGAAATTTTTATAAAAATAAAACTTAAAATCGCGTCTGGACATAGTTAGAACGTAAAAATGTTGATAAAAAATATTAGGTAACTATTTAAAAAGGAAAATCAAAATTAGCTTCTTAAAATGCAATTTCATCATACTGAATATTTAATTTAATTCAAGGCTTAACAATAATTAATTGAAATTCATTTCATTTTTCTTATATTTAAATAACATAATATTAAAATTACAGACATTCTAAAATGCTTTGAATTTTTATAAAAATAAAACTTAAAATTCTGGAATAGTTAGCAACTGAAAAATGTTAATAAAAATATTAGGTAAATTTAAAAAGGAAAAATCAAAAATTAGCTTCTAAAATCTTTTAAAATCCAGATTATTACTAAAGATACTAATAAGAAGCAAATTAACTCTAACGAAATAAGAAGGAAACATATAAAATTATTATATTGTCGTAGACCTGTTTTTTGTTCTTTTTATAAAAATTCTTCACTCATTCGTATTATTTGACATGAAAAACCCATAAGTTACAGATATATTTGAGAATGTCAAACAAAAAAGGAAAAAAAAGTGGTAGATTATATTAAACTAGTATTTAGTCATTAAAAAATCTTAATGGAATTAGTAACTTGTGTTGAATTATTAAAGTCAGTAATTTGGGTTGAATTTAATTAGAGACCTTACTAAATCAAGTTAAGATAAATTGAATAAAATGGCTACCTAAGTAACAAACGACGCCTAAATTCCCGTCGTCTTGCGTATGGTTAAAGAATTAATGAGGATACGAATATGCGTCTCTCAGGTATTTAATGTGACATTCTGTGTAAATCATTTGTTTTTTATGTACAAAGCGGTAAACGGGCAGGAGGCTCATCTGATGTTAAGTGATACCGCCGTCAGAAGGCTGGCAAGTGTGTTGCCGGCCTTTTAAGAGTTGGTACGCTCTTAAAACTGCCTTAAGAAACGCTTGGTTGTGGTAACGGACATCGAGGTGATACGGATGGTATTTTGTATTCTTTCTTGACGTCCGATGATGAAACATGGTTAGAAAGAAAAGAAAATTACACTTCGAATTCGTAACGTTTTCGTTTTGTTTGAAGTGGGTTAAAAAGAACGCCATTTATTAAGTTTTCGTAAATAATTTAAACTTGGAATCATCGCTCAATCTTTCCTACTTGTCATCTTGTTTAGAGACGTTAAAACGAAGGGTTTGATAGTTTTGTGTACTAATAATAATAATAATAATATGAGTAATTTTTTTTCACGAATTGTTAAAGAAACATAATTTCCAAATTGTTGTCTTAACAATATTTTTGTTCCTGTAAAAATACAACTTATTATGACAAATCTTATAAATAATTAAAAAATACAATTACGAAAACGTAACAACTTTTTATTAATACCGATTTACAAGTTTCAATATGGTTAAAAAAAATTGTTATGTAAATTAAAAACATTGTATGAGTTACCTTCACTTTAATGTCTAAATAACAAAATTTTCATCCCTCAAAAGGATAAGCTGAAAAGTCTTTATGTTGTTACACAAAATTAATTTTCAAATGAATACATAAACAATGGAATAATTACGCGTTATCGTGCCAGAAAATGTTAAAGAAAATTATTTCTCTTACAGAATAAATGATGTTTTTCAGAATGTCTCTGAACAACTTCATACACTTGGTTTATAATAACTAGCTGGAGGCTAGTTAAAATTCTTAAGAAATTCATTAATTTAATTTGTCAGTTTAATCTAAAACTTATTTGTTATTTATTAACACGTCGTTGCAGTAATACAGTACAATTAAAAAAATTTAAAAAAAGAGGGCAAGTGGTCTTATCGATTTAGTCTATTAAGAAGTCATATAACCGGAAAGATTTGTTAATTAATTCGAAATTTAAAAATATAAATATGCGTTTATCAGACACGTAAAATGCAAATTTTGGCTATAAAAAGTGCGAAATTTATACGAAATTATGGAGATGTGATGCCTTGAAACTGAGTAGCTAAATTGTTACTGCTATGACTTTTTTATTACTCAAGGCTCAGGTAATAATAATAAAGTTTAAAATTAAGTTTTGTAACACAGTCAACATTGAATGATATGTAAAACAAAAACTATAAAATGGGGCTTTAAAAATAAATAATTGAATAATTAGTTTTGTGTTAATTCTGTATAAATCTTCTCAATTATGAAAAAATAATCTTCATCTGTATTTCTTCTAAACACTTTTTATTTAAGCATATAATTTTTGTTTTAAAATGCTATTTAGAGAAAATACTGTTAGTTAAATTAGATTTCTCCTAATGAATCCCTTTTAGAGATATTTTTATTACCATTTTCTAACTCAATAGAACAAGCCCGATCATTTGCGAAACCTTTGGAGCTGCCCAATTACTTGTAAAGTCGTTAATTTATTTTAATTAAATGGTTTTTTTAAAATAATTTATAACTTTTTAATACAACGTTTATTTTGATTAAGCCCGCAATTTTTATATTGAAACTAGCTGACCCGGCAAACGTTGTTTTGCCATGTATATTAATTATTTCTAGGATTTTTTTTGATTCAATAAAATTAACTATCTAGTATAATAAAAAAGGGGTTGATGGTAGAGGGGTGAAAATTAGGGGTTATATGTATTTTTGTATGATGAACCATAAAAAAATAAAATGTATTTTTTTAGGGTGGACACCCCTTATAACTTTTAGGGGTTTGAAATATAGATAGTAGCTGATTTTCAGACTTACTGAATATGCATAAAAAAATTAATAAGAATCGGTCGAGCCGTTTTGGAGGAGTATGGGAACGAACATTGTGACACGAGAATATTATATATAAAGAGATATTATTTTTGAAAAGATCACAGAATATAGACGAAAAAGCGACTTTTTACCAGATATTTTTACAATATAGGATCTGATATTTTCGGTCTTTAAACAGACATTTATTCTTTGCCTTCCATACCCGATGTTTGTTGCTTTCCGGACCATATGTCCGGCCTTCTATGTTACTCTATTTAAGTATATGTCAATATCATGATGATGTCATTAACTTCTTATACAAGAGTTCTTCACGTGCTGCTAAGTTATCAGTACAAAAATCTATCGTCACTTTTACTTAATTTCGTTTTAACCCTCACACGTGGTGTATGTTATTAGATCTATACTAATATATATATTTGTATATGAGGAAAATTCCAACAAAGCAATTATTATTACTTTCATTATAAACGCGAACAAAAGAACCTTGCTCAGCGTATTTACCCACATAGCTTTTGTTTGCGAAAAAGATACAATATTGAAAAATGATCGCCATTATTGCTGATACGATGAATCGAGGCGATAAATTTCTGATTGACGATTGATGAGTTTAATCGTTTCTTAATTACGGGTCAAGTTTTTGACGTTTGGACAAATTTAGAAAAATGTAATAGCGGTGCTTGTAGGGGTTTTTGGTTTAAAACAAATTATACTTAAATTGATATATGTACTGTTTATTAAAAATAATAATCAGAGGCGCTACAACCTCTTTTAGGTCTGGGCCTCAGATTTTAGAATCTTTTTCACGATCATTTTTCAATCTAATAGGCAAGTAGGTGATCAACCTCCAGTGCCTGACACACGCCGTCGACTTTTTGGGTCTAAGACATGTCGGTTTCCTCACGATGTTTTCCTTACCGTTCGAGCGAATGTTAAATGCGCACATAGAAAGGAAGTCCATTGGTGCACAGCCTACGACCTCAGGGATGAGAATCGCACGCTGAAGCCACTAGGCCAACACTGCTCAACATATATAATTATATACTGTTTACATATCTAAATCTATAAAAAAATCTCTTTTTTGATAGATTCTTCTCCGCTCCGAATAGCAGAATAAGTAATAAAATATCGAATAAAAATAAATAAGTAAGTAAATTAATTTTACGAATGCAAACAGTATGTGGTGCCATCTGTTGACAAAACTACGCATCATTTTACGTCGAATTCGTTTCAGTTCAAGAAATTCCTTTTTTGAGGTGAATGACGAGATGCATAACCAGGCTTTGATCTTGATCGAAGACATGTGTTACCTTATCAAAAAATGTTGTATATCAGAAAGTGCTTTAACATGCAGTATCGCAATATTAGCGCTAGAGAGAAGAGGCCTAATGTGTAAAACGGCAATTCATCTTTCGCAATGGCAAGCAATAAAATATTTCTGTATTTGCAAAAGTTGTATTAATGTTAACCTTAATGAAATCCTAAAATAAGTTTAACTAAAGTAACAACGATATTATTAGACTGTAAGGCGGAACGAAGTTAGCCGGGTCAGCTAGTATTAAATAAAAGTTTAAAATGTATGTAACCGGTTTAGACATGTACGGTTGCCAGTAGTTGCCATGTTTTTATCAGGCTGTGGGTCGAAAATATGGTTTCCTCGGCGTATGGGTAAATAATAAAAGCAGAAGGAGGCAATAGTAGACTGAGCCTTTGAAACAATGTTAGAATCGTCCTTATCAAATTTTTATTTGAATTAAAATTGTTTCGTTTATATATTTGCTTATTAACATCCGTGATTTCAGTACGTTTATATATTTGTTATACGAGTAATACGTCCTAGGTATGCAAACAAGAAACAAATGCACGCGGCGTGGCCAACGAAATGGCTTTTAACTTTTTCGCCAGTCGATAGCACTGATTGAAATTGAAGCTTTACAGAGGAAGAACATATCACAACCTAAACCAGTTACTAAATAGTGCGGGGCGATTCGCCCAGTAAATTGACGCATCGGATCACATACATATGACTCGGCCAAATAGTTATTTACGTAACAAGATTATATTACTTTTAAGATTTATTTCTTTGATCCATGTAGCCGCATGTAAATTGGATCTAGTTAATAGTTAAGATTAGTTATCGGCTTACACGGGCTTCATGGTTAAACGATATCTTGTATATTCTAACAAAGACGACCCATGAACTTTTAACTACTAAGATAGTTAACTTAGGCTCACCCAGTTTAAACTCAATACATTAAATACGTGAATATTCGCGCTGTATATACTTGTGGAAATAAGCTGTGACTGCAATATGGTTTTCATAGTTTTTGCTATGACTTTAAAAGTCAAATGGCTTATAATATATGAAGGCGTGTTTTGTGGGATTGTAATTAGTTAAAGAAACAATCTTATTCTCATTGATCATTTGTGATAAATTGTGAAAATTATGAACGTATATAATATGTGTCTTTCCATCGATATATTTACATACAATACGAGTACTGAGGAGGTAATACCTCCTAAAAACGGTTGAAAGCCTGCTATAGGAAATCTTACCTTCGCCTCTCATGCATAATATTAAGCTTTTGAAAAACGTGTGTAATCCAGAAATCACATACCTTTTGTAAAGTGAAATCAATTTATGTCCGAACCACACAGATTTCCCAAATGAATTCAGCATTGTTATGACTCCAAATTGAAATCGTTGCCTCGAGTTATGACAAGTTCAATATACGCAGATTGCTTAACTTTTGTATTTGAGTTATTTATATTTGTATAGGAAATTAGGATTGGGAATACAAGCGTATTGTTTCGAAATTTTATAAAATTTTTAATGTTTTGTCTTTGTTAGTAAATGACAACGCATCGATAATATTTTCATGTTGTCTAAACTGTCAATGTTGATTATGTTAAGTTAGTAACCCTCTCTGTTCTCGTCTCGAATATAGTATATCTAAATATATATAATATTCTCGTGTCACAATGTTCCTTCCCATACTCCTCCGAAACGGCACGACCGATTCTTATGAAATTTTTTTATGCATATAAAGTAAGTCTGCTATCGGCTACTATCTATATTTCAAACTCCTAAGTAATAACCCCAAACAGTTCTTTTTTTTGTTCAGTTTTTTTTTGTTTTTATTGTTTATGATACAGCATACATAAATACATACAACCCCTGATTTTCACCCCTCTACGATCAACCCTAATAGGGTTTTTTATTATTGTAAATATAACTATCTACAATAATAAAAACCCCTATTTTTTATTATTGTAGATAATTATATTTATTGAACTAAACAAATGTTTCTTAGAAATATTATAAATGGCAAAACAAACGTATTGCAAGTAGGTGGCCGGGTCAGCAAGTAGGTACTGTATAAAAGTTCGCTTGAAAGAGTTTTAAGCTTGACCACTATATCTTCAAGAACTGGTTCGAAATGGGAAAATATATTTTGTTAGATTTAATTGATAAATTCTTTATTCCCCATGATAGTGTATGAAGTACTAAGAACGCCATAATTAAATATGTACTTACTTTATCTTCCAGTACACATGTCTGCATGAAAACCTATTCCACTACCTGTGCGAAGAAAATGGGGGAGCTGTGACACTACCAGCTGCTCGCGGAGATGACGCATGGAAAATCTACTTCAATGAAAATCCAGAGGAAATCGTAGATGAATTTGCTATGAGATATGGCATTGAATCTATCTATCAAGCGATGACGTAAGTTACCTAAATACTGATATAAGGATAACAATGCTAAAAGTAACAAGTGAGATAAATAAAAACAAAAATAAGAAAATTGGCAATTTCTTAACTGTGCGCAACTTTGATCCGAAATTTTACGTAATAAAGTAATAACTACGTAAAAAATAAGTAAATAAAATTTAAGTAAATTATTGTGTTAGTTATATTATTAAAATTAGTCCGGCGTCATAGAGGTGTAAAATGGGTGGGTTTTAATTAAAAACCTCCTTCTTGACCTTTCGATTTGATATACCTATGTGTTACAATTTTTTTAGCTACTAGCTATCATTTTATTTTAATATATTTAGAACTTTGGGTCTTGATATTACTGTAGCAAGAAATAAAGATAGGCTTTCTAATTTACAGCGAAACAGTGATTTGCTATATAATGTATTTTCTGCACTAGATACAATTTAACTATTTTAAAATATATGACAATACAGAAAACATATAATTAAAAAATAATAACAAAAATGTAACACAAATTTTAGTTTGTACTTATAAAGTAAAATACAGTCAAAACCGTTTATAACGACATCGTTTACAACGACCTATCGGTTATTACAACCAGATTGTATGGTCCCGTCCGAATATTCAGTAAAGAAACCGCTTATAACAACATCGGATACAGCGACATATCGCTTACAACGACGAAAGTTTATCGATATTCATCGGATATAACGACCAACCGCTTCTTGTCTCAGTAAAACAAAACAATACAAACGATTTTAAATTTTATTTATAAGCATTGAATGAATATTTAGGCACATTATTACCTACGCACTTTTTCCCAACGAACAGTTTCAGCCAACAACGATTTCCGAGGCTCTAAACGCTGTAACGATTTTGCAAAAATTTGTTGCCTTTAACGAACAGTTTGATACTGGTGATACTCATACCTTGAGGAGTATGAAACGTAAAATGCAAAAAATATTTGAGACTGGGCTGAAAAAAAACAGACTGACTGATTACTTTTGTACCTAATTATTTCCTATTCCTACCTATTCTAGATCGATAACTATGTACATACATATGTACTGTACTTGTGTACATGACATTGCTTATAACGACTATCGGATATAACGTCGGCAACTATACGGTCCCTTCAATGTCGTTATAACCGGTTTTGACTGTACTACTATTTATACTATTCCAAAATGATGTTGTCATTTTAAGGTGAGCTTTTTAAGTCCTCAATAGTGTCAAATATAAGCATGGTAAAAGCCCATAAAGACTTTCAAAGCGATGATTTATGGCGTCAAGGCAACACTAGTAGACCATTAGGGTATTTAATACAATATAAATATAACTTTATAATATAAAAAAGGTGTGAATGTATTACTCATGAACACTATGCCAAATACAACGTACGTTCAAAGACTGTCTTTGAAATTTGACGATTTATCACGGCGCTTATAAAGTACGGGTATAACACGTTAAAGATATATATATAGAAATATTCTCAGAAGCTGTTCCAGCAAAGGCAAATTAATAGTTTAATTAAATATTAATAGTTTATTAAATATTGGCAAAAAACGAAATGCCATTTTTTTTTATCTTTAATTGTTTATAACTTTTGCAATTTTTTATGTGCTAATACACGCTTTTGGCACATTTTCCTAGACGTCATTCCGGATCCAATGAGCTATCGCACATAATTTTAAGAGCAGTATCTCTATTTTGTACTATTTTCAGCTTTTCGACTAGACTATAATAGATTAAACAATTAACTCAATTTGCAGGCATTTCCACTGTCTGTCTACGAAGTACTTATGCGCGGGAGTGCCGGCGGTTATGTCAACACTGTTAGCTAACATCAACGCATACTACGCTCATACAACTGCTTCATCTGCTGTTTCAGCGTCTGATAGATTCGCCGCTTCAAACTTTGGGGTAAGACTTAGTATAATAAAGTAATAGTTATTTTAGGCACAGTAATAAAAAATGAAAGGCTTACAAATTAAGGACAAAAATATTACAGAAACAACGCAAAAACTTTTTTGTACTGTATGTAGATTATACCTAATATTATAATGGCTAATATTATGAAATATATTAATTAAATTATAAAAATTTGATGACCTATTCATTGAACTATTTGAGAATTGTAGATATGGTCCATATAAGTAAAGAATTTTCAAATGGCCGCAAGAAAGGAAGTCCCTGAATCCAATTAAAACTTCATTAAAATAAAGCCGAGAAAACATATCTTTAGTATTATTATAAAGTTTGTTCCTTTGGTATTGGACGTGTTCACGGGAACTACTGATTCCATTTATCGACGAAAGCCCTCACGCTACAACCAAATTAACGCGGTTAAAGCTTTATATAAATTTTGTCCTGAGTCCTTTGCTCGAAGGCTGTATAGTAACGGGGTCGCATAACGCAGTCACGTATCCAAAGATAACCCTAATGACCCTTACTCAATTAAAAGCAATCCGTTTTATTGCATAATTAGCAATTTGGTTTATCTTAGCCATAAAACTTGTGTTGCATATTTAAAAGACAAAATAATATGTAAAGACATTCAATTCGCGATTGGATGTATTCTTTATAAATGTATAAAATTTACGGTAATTATACAAAGCAAGTAATTACAGATTGATTACTTTTCGTATCATTCTATGTAGTCGCTCATCATGTATAAATTAGTCAACTGATTTGGGAAACAACCGTTGTTTCAATAATATTATATTCTTCGTGGTGGAGTGTTAAATCTACAGAACTCTAAAATAAACATCTAAACACACCTGTCTTCATAAAGCAAAAGTTTTTGTTTCTATTGTTATCTTATGGGTGACTAATGCGATATTAGTTAACAAAGAGTTTGTAACCAAAGAACTGGAAGTAATTGAAATGTTCATAATACTCAATGAAGTTGCAAACTTATCTTAACAAAAGTGTTCTCTAATCCACTTCTCTTATAGAAAGAAAAGTTCGTGAAACTCCTTGACCAACTACACAATTCGCTACGGATCGACCTTTCTATGTACAGAAATAATTTTCCTGCTTCAAGTGCGGAAAAACTTATGGATCTCAAATCAACTGTGGATCTCTTGACCAGCATTACATTCTTTAGGATGAAGGTAAGTGTTTATTAATTTAAATAACTAAATTATATTATATAGTATATATAAAAATATGGAAACGCAATTCTTTCGAAAATAATTAAATTTCTATGAAACAATGAGTTCTGTTTCTTCTCACGTTGTGTGTTTTAGTCGAATTGTGCTTTTTGTCAGGCATAAAATATGACGAATCTCTTTTTAATCTAAATCGTGGTTGAAATTAAAACCTGTACTCTAGTTTCAAAATAATATTATATCATTAATTGCTTGAAGATGTCGTGTAGAGTACAGAGCTTTTAAAAACATTATCTAAAAAAACCGCGATAAATACAGTGGCGGGGAGTTTACTGCCAGCGTTTCTCGTCCATTCCCTTAATTTGTGAATTTCATTTTAATAAATTATTTTTTATTCGATTTTGTTTATAAATTTTGAGCTTTATCAGCTTAGGGTTAATTTTTATATTAAAACCACAAAATTATATGATGGAAATAATTGGGTGTATTTATAAGTTTAGCTAGAACTATTTCTTATCAGGTACAAGAACTTAGCAGTCCACCGAGAGCAAGTACAGTCGTGAAGGACTGTGTGAAGGCGTGTTTGAGGTCAACCTATCAATTTCTTTTTGAAAATTGCTACGAATTATTCAATAGAGAATTTCAAGTAAGTATTATAAAGTTTAAAATGTTGATCCATATATTTCATATAACTTGTTTAAAATATGCTAATGAGGCTAACGTATACATACAAAACTATATATACATATTAATAAGTATAACTTTCCATGTATATTTTAAATTTATAGGAAGATGTTCTAGTTATTCAAAAAAATTATTTAATTATAAAATAAATTTTATATTTAGTATTTCAACCGTGACAGACCTTGATACGAACTAAAGTATTTGCGTGTTATAGTCACGATAAAGTTTTGTGCGTGCACCTATTTTACTGCTAATAAAGGCAGTAAGCATGGTAAACATTGCGTTATATTTTATTACTATAATTAATTACTTCAAGATGGCACATGCTGCAGCTCCAATGGATTGGAACGACGGAAAGGTTTATTAATAAAAAATGAGATTTAAAATCCTAATCTAAGCAAATTTAAATCTCCGAAAATAAATACATGAAAGAGAAACATGAGTCTATATTACATTTCCAGGTTGATCCAAACGAAGCGAAAAGGGATCCCTCCGATCATGGACCACAGTTGGACTCTGTAGACTTCTGGCACAAGCTCATTGGACTTATAATATCTGTGATAGAAGAGGATAGAAATAGTTACGCGCCTGTCTTAAATCAATTTCCGCAAGAACTTAATATTGGTCAAGTAGGTTTATAAAAATCATACCAGAGATATATCATTTAAATAAAATGCTATAAAAACTCTTTCAAATTTAGGAAATATATAGTTTAACTAGCTGGTCCGGCAAACTTCGTTTTGCCATGTATATCATTTATAATAAAAAATAGGGGTTGGTCGTAGAGGGGTGAAAATTAGGGGTTGTATGTATTTTTTTATGTTGTATCATAAAAAAAATAAAAAATAAAAATTTATCTAAAAATTAAAAAAATTAAAGTTAGGGGTGGACTACCCTTAACATTTAGCGTGATGAAAAATAGATGTTGTCCGATTCTCAGACATACCCAATATGCACACAAAATTTCATGAGAATCGGTCTAGCTGTTTCAGTGGAGTTTAACTACAAACACCGCGACACGAGAATTTTATATATTAGATTATATTTTATTAGTATATATTACATATCACTGGGTAAAATGTGTAGTGCAATGTTTTAAAAATTTCCAGCTATCAGCAGCTACAATGTGGTCTCTATTCGCTGTGGATATGAAGTATGCTCTAGAAGAACATGAACAGCATCGGCTATGCAAGTCTTCCGCCTACATGAACTTACATTTCAAAGTAAATTTTTTTGATAGTACGACTGTTATTTTGTTATAAGATATTGCTTTATGATTGTTATATGTTGCTTTTGATTTGACAAAATGTTGTGTTTTTAATGACATTTATGAGCGATTTTACTATTAAAATTTCAATTAATATTCTTTACTGTCTGTATTAAGAAGACGTTTGAATTATTTTATAGAAAAAGTTCTACGAATATTCTATTCGTGTCTTGTTCAAAAGTTTTCAATGAAAAATACATTTATTAATACATATAAGTATTTAGTTACCATTGTAAGTATTGGATTATGATTACGTCGTATCAAATTTGTGTTGCTAAAAAAATACAATTTTGTTTTACAGGTGAAATGGCTCTACACAGAATATGTTAAAGATGTTCCGCCATATTGTGGAGCTGTGCCAGAATACCCTGCTTGGTTCGAGCCGTTTGTCATGCAATGGCTGAACGAGAATGACGATGTCTCTCTTGAGTATTTGACTGGAGCATTCAATAGGGATAAGAGAGATGGGGTTAGTATTTTTTACTTTATTACCGAGATGAATTATGTGTCAGAATTTGTCTTACATTTTTAGTTCTAGCATTGAACCAATACAAAATATTGTTTCTTATTGTAATGAAATTAAAGGTACAGGTTAAATGTGTGTCATTTCAAAATATTTACCATGTAAAATATTTCTGGGAAAAGATACTTTGCAAGCTTTGATTGCCTCTTGAAGAGAGTAGATAAATTTTGTGTCAATACATAGCCATAATGCCTATGAAATATGACCTTAAGGATAACATATTCCCATAAAACCCGTGTGATAAGATATTTCATACCAATATTTTAGGCTTATGTTGACAAACTCCAGGTAGAACTAGGCTCTATGCCTATGATAAGTCATAAATATATATTTTATCTAAGCATTCCTCCTTTATCCATTTCCAAAGCATATTTGAAGGTTCTATGTTTAGGTTTCACATGTTTATTTTTTTTATTTTTTGACAACGTTCTTATAATATTTTACACTTTCACAGAATCCCTATGATAATAATTTTCTTTATACGCACGTGTCTCATTATTTAACAATATTAATTATAAGTAAAGGGTATTTTTATTTATCTATTAAATGTTCCATGGTAATACATTTTTTGCCGCCATAACTGACTCTATATTATATATATTTGCTTCATCTCATACTTTCATGTAAATTAGATTTAAAAAAAACTTTGTATGTTTAAATGCATATGACATGGAGTTTATTGCGGTTTCAGTTCCAAAAATCAAGCGAGCACGCACTCTTCAGTAATTCAGTCGTTGACGTCTTTACTCAACTCACGCAATGCTTTGACGTGGTTTCCAAGCTAGAGTGTCCAGACCCTGAAATATGGAAGAGGTATATGAAGAGATTTGCGAAAACCATCGTAAAGGTGCTAGTCGCCTATGCTGATATCGTGAAGAAAGAATTCCCAGAACATTTGAAAGAAGAGAGAGTGGTATGTGACAGTCTTTTTACATAAATAAAAAATATATAAATTCATTTCAATATTGCTTATATTTTAAAATAAAAAATAAAAACTACCTTTAATTTAATTTAGCCATGACGAAAAGACTACATTATCGTAATGTTTACCTTATCATTGCTCTAAATTCATTTTGAGACAAAGAGGTTTATTTAAATAGTTCACTATTTTCGTGCAACTCTGAAAAAATACAATTAACTCTGACGAATCAGAATTCCTTAAAACACTTTTGATTCAACTGTATTCGATCAAAAACTGAAAGATTTTTCGCAAATTTCCAGGCGTGTATCCTAATGAATAACATACAACAACTTCGTGTTCAACTGGAGAAAATGTTCGAAGCAATGGGTGGGAACAAGCTGGAACGAGATGCAGCAGACATCCTCAACGATTTGCAACAAAGCTTGAATAGTACACTGGATGAACTGGCTTCTATGTTTGCTATCAGGTATACACTTAATTGAATAAAATGTTCAGTTTATTACGTATGAAAACATATTTCCGGTGAAACAAAGCTTTTTCCGTAAATATTTACGAAGAAATTTGTGCGTGTGTAAAAACTTGGATAATTGCGCTGTCTATGATTTAAATTTGATACTTTTTTACTCTTCACAGCCTTGAGATGCGAATAACGGCGAGTGTGAAAGAATTGGGTGAATTACTTCAGAAAGTCGGCGGAGGTGCGGCTCCTGGACAGCCGCAGCCGCCAGCTCATCATGAGGCTGATGAAGTGCTTAGACCTCTTATGGACATTTTGGTAATTTATGTGATTTAATCTGGTATCTCTGTTTAATTCCCCTAAGGCAACTCTATGGCAACATTTATTTATTTTCCTTATTTCCTATTTTTACCTTTTTAATAGTGCAGCATTTAATATAGGTTTTAATTAAACTGTATATATACTATAGGGCCTTTATTAATGTATATTGATTGGTATGAATAGCTTTGCTAATATGTATTAATACATATCGCTAAAGTAAAATATACCTTTGTTTATTTATGTAAAGCATTTAAGATATTATTCGCTCGTATTTTGCGGGTAAACCTTGTCGTGATTTATATGTTATTTTTTTAACATTCATATCTGGTAAAATAATATAAATATTTATTTGACTTCGTTGTCATGGTTATAATATTATAGAGGAAAAAAAACCCCGAACCAACAGGCGCAAAAAAAAAATGGGCCCCCCCCGGGGGGCCCCCTTTTTTTTGTAACACCCCCCTGGGGGGAAACCCGGGAATTTTGGGGCCTTTGTGGTATTATAAGTGAATATTTCTATACATACTAAAACCATATATTTTAGGATGGTTCACTGACGATGTATGCGGAATCTTGTGAGAAGACTGTACTAAAACGCTTGCTAAAGGAGCTATGGAAGATCGTCATGAAGATTCTTGAGAAGACGGTCGTTCTTCCGCCCATGACGGACAAAACGGTATAAATGTTGACTTATTATAAACATCGACTCCTAATTTTACCCCAAAATTATATTAACCCAGCAATGCCTAGCGTGTCCATATGGACACGCAGTAAGTAGAAAATTTAAGCGATGACTGTAGTCAGACTAACTGTTTTCTTATTTTGGCAATGCCATGTAACTACTATCAAAGTATCAAATGACATTTATTTTTAGCGCGAGTGAGTATTGCGTGTAAAATAAGGTTCTAGTTTTAGTTTGATTTTGAACTTTGGAAAAAACATGGATGGCAGTGGAAAGTAAGTAATTTTTCTTAAAAATTATTTTAAACGCTAACTGCTTTTTGAATAGGATTGTGGTCAATAGTGTTATCTGACGTTTGAAATGATAACCTAAGTGAAAACATTGTTTCGATCGAGTTTTAGAACAAATTTGTTCGCGTGTCCATATGGACACGCTAAGCACTTGAATGAGCTGATATTACTTTGCATCCGCTTTCTTGTTATCAGGTACATGGATTATGGAATATTCAAAAACCAAAGAACATTGAGTGATATTTTGAATGCCTCTTCACAAGTTTGTAGTTGCTCATTTATCTTCGATAAGGCTATGGCTATGGCGCGACGAGGTTCCGTACGTGAAAATCGTTTGCGAAAATGCCCGAAGCTCACCACAAACAAGCAAATAAAGTAGAAAAAAGAGGGTATTATGAGTCAGCGATAAGCAAAGATGATGGCGTATAGTGTTTATTGCTTCTAGTAATCTGGGGGTACCCATAAGTACTGTGAAGCGTTATTCAGAGAAAGATAAACGAATGTACAGGTCCCACGTCCTCATCTTTTTGGTAAATATAATCGGTTCATGGGAGGCGTCGATCGTATGGACGAGAATATAAATATGTATCGAATACACATAAGAGGCAAAAAATAGTATTGGGCCCTATTCAGCTGGAGGCTGGGTACTTGTATTCACAACGCTTGGCAACTACAACGGAAAGCAGGCGCTAAAGTGGCACAGCTTGATTTCAGAAGGGAGATTGTGTTACATTATTTGAGCAAATATAACTCTATACCCAAATGGCTAGGGAGATCTAGTACTTCTAGTTCAGCGATAGCGAACACTTCGCGCTTTGACAAAATAAAACATTTTGTTACTAAAACAGAAAAAAAGGAGATGTGTGGGTCCGTACTGCAAGACTAAACCTTCCGCAGTTCGAACAGCTTGCTGCAAATGTATTGTTGGCCTTTGCGTCAACTACTTTAGGGATTACCTCAAAAACAACTAAGTCCTTTCTTGTTTTTTTCTTTTTCTGTTTGTTATTTAAATTAGTGAAGATTTAATTTAATTTGTACACCTTAACGCTTAGCGTGTCCATATGGACACGTTTGATTTTTCGCAAAATAAACAATTTTTTTTTAAAGCAACTTGTTTTTCTCTTTATTAATGTTATTTTAAGTGAGATGATTGCAACAAATACAAAAATAATAATTAAAAAAGAAACTGGGCATTGCTGGGTTAATATAAATAAAGATATGTTTTTGTCTACGCGAGTTATTTTGTTTTTTCATCGGATTTGGGCTACACTGACTTCCAAATAACCATTATTTTACACTAATAGTAGAGAAATAATTTAAAAACATTTTGTTGCTATGCCTTTTTGTCTGAAGTAAAATGTTGATAAATTCGTTTGAATACTTCAAAAACACGAATAAGCAATACTTATAAATTGTCTAAATGTGAAACAAGTGAAATTGCTAGAAGTTAGTCACTACCAGTAGCTTTGCTACTTAAAGAAATTTTATATATCTCTCTCACATAACTCATCTCAAATCAATAAATAGAGTCATGTTATGAAATTAACATACATGTGTACAGTGAAAAGTAATACTACATATAAATCATCATCAAAGTAAAATATACATTGATATCTAGAATGAAACAACAAATATATCGAGCACGCGTTCACCAAATGATTAATTACAAATAAATCAGTTCCCAAACAACATTATATCAATCCAACAGATGATGCTGAAGAATTTGACGAACAACGCAAAGAACTTGGCAGCCAACGCAAAGATCGAAGATATGACGCAGTTGTTCAAGAGTACAGTTGGCAAACAGGATGTTAAACATGCCTTGTCCGGCGTCATGGATATATCCAAAGAGGTAACAACTGTTGATCATAAACACATATTGCCAAGCATCTGTGTGGTTTCACGTGATGATACATAGTCTAAACCTTCCTCAATTAATGGGCTATCCAAACAGAATGTTTCAGTTTGAACAAGTACAACTCCTGAGATTAGCGGATTAAAAACATATTTATGCCTTTATTACACAAGAACTGTTAATAAACCAGTCCTTTTCCCTTGTTACTGAAGTATTTATTCGTTGCTAACTTTTAATAATTACGGGGTTTGGTACTAAGCAATAGATGACGAGTGAGTTTTTTTTTAAATTCCTAATAAAATAAAACTTGTACAGCACTTGTCAGCTGAGAAAAGCTTAACACCAAAGCAGTGTGCGGTTCTGGATGCGGCGTTGGATACAATAAAGCAATACTTCCACGCTGGAGGGAATGGTCTAAAGAAAACGTTCCTGGAGAAAAGTCCAGAATTACAATCGTTGAGATATGCTTTAAGTCTGTACACGCAAACTACAGATACACTTATCAGAACGTTCGTTACGAGTCAGCAAAATCAAGGTATATTCTTAAGTATTCAATAAATTAATTCAATTTTGTCGTTACAAACTCAAATTCGTTTTGTGTTCGCAGTGATTTGTAATCTGATTGTAGATGTCGCTACAAATCCTTATTATAATAATTTAATTCGTATTCAAAGCTATATCAGAACATGTAAATTTCTATTTGAATAATTAAAGTTGGATCACAATCTTGTCTTGTAAACTATAAAAAATCTAAAGATTTTATAGGTTTCACAAATTTGAGAACAAAAATGAGACATGCATGCTCATTTATCAATATATCGTTCTTCTGCTAACATGCCCCTTTATCCAAGTGATCAGTCTAATCACTCTGTTTTGTTTAAAGTATTGTTCAGTTTTAAAGAAAGATATTTGTTATTTAAGGTAAAACATAAATGTATTATTACAGCATAAATTATTTTCAAAGTACACTGTAAATATTTTGATTTAGATGCCGCTGTGGCAGAAGAGGGTAGTGTGGGTGAAATTTCCCTTCAAGTGGATCTCTTCACGCATCCAGCAACTGGTGAACATAAGATCACTGTTAAGGGTTAGTTATCTTTGATTAAACTTACGTTCTCTGAAATAACAAATATATATGTAGTAGTATTGCGTAATCGCCTTAAATGTATGCAGTCACGATAATAATAACGCTGAGCTTGTGATGTGGTGAGTGCTGTAGCGTCTCGATATGAACATTTATGAAATTTGTTTACAGAATCTGTCTCAAATTCTTAAAATTTCAACAGATTACATTTTACTACTGCATGTTTTATTAAAACTTTATGGGTAATTTAAACAGTATTTTTAAATGCATACATTGTTTTGTGAATATTTTTGTCTCTTACTATATTTATACCGTTGTATTTTTGTCCAGTTGTGGCGGCAAATGACTTGAAGTGGGTGATAGCAAGTGGCATGTTCCGTCCGTTCATAGAGGTCAATCTGATTGGTCCTCATCTCGCCGATAAGAAGCGAAAATTCGCTACCAAATCGAAAAGTAACAATTGGAGTCCAAAATTCAATGAAACTTTTCACTTGTAAGTTTATATGTTGTTCTTGGGCTTTTTATGTATCTATAAGAACCAAGATTAAAAATACATTTCTAGAATATCTGAATAATGACCGTTAGATTACAATTCTTGTTGTCTATTTTGTTTTTAACTGATTTAAATCCCTCGTCTTGTGATTTACATGTAACTCGGCATTTTTAGACCTGTGTAAAATTAACAATTAAGTGAATGTTAAAGTGGAAGCTACACTAAAAACAAAACAATGTTTTTTTTCTTAAATCGTATTTTAGTCATAAAATGCAAACAAATGAATAACTGGTTAAAAAAGTAATTATGATATCTAATTCTCATCACATTTGTTGCATATAAATAAGTTCCGTCTTTTAATATTATTGTTAACTTTAGAAATTTAGAATATTTAACTTTTTGATACTTTTTAGCAAATTAACCTCACGAAGGGAAATTCAGATTGAGCATACTGTTAAACGAGCTGGATCTGGATATCCATAGTTGCTCCCCTCACACTTAAAGAGCGATTTTCGTCTAACGTTTATTTAAATTATAATATTGTTTTGCTTAATTTCTTTTCATTATTTCTTATATGCTATGTTTGCCTGTAAGTGCTTGACACATTGAAAATTGTATTTTATTTTCCTTTTATTTCCAATGTATCAGTGTGCCGAGCGTTGGCAAGCTTTTATAAATAAGTAAATGTTAAATTTTATTACCAGTATGGTGAGCGCAACAGAACAATTGGAGCTTTTTGAACTACATGTATGTGTACGGGATTACTGCTTTGCGCGGGAGGATAGATTGGTCGGTGTGGCCGTCATGCGTCTAGCTGATATTGAAGAACAGGTATATTATAATCAGAGATTGATATCAATATTGATAATCATGGAAAAAAGGGTGCGTGTACTTATGTACGCGCGTAAGAATTTATACTTCTTTGGCATTATTAAAAATAGTTTTTGATTGCATGCAAATAATTAGTTGCAATTAAATAATAATCAAAGACTGGAAAAGGAATCATAGTCAATAAAGTTCAGTTTACATTTGAAAAATTAATTAATTAATTATTCTCTTACATTAAGTGTAACATAAATTCTATTATTATTCGAATGTTGTTTTTAAATTATGTCCAATGCCGTAGCATTCTGTTAATTTTGTGTCACGGTGCGCGCGCATCGTAAAATTTCACTCTAATCAATTTTCCATAACGCGCCTAAAGAAGTATAACTTCAATAAATGATAAAACTAGCTGAGGTATTTCCGAACCAATTTGACTTAGGGTCGTTTAAGAAAAGAGCGTACCAACTCTTAATAGGCTGGTAACGCATTTGCGAGCCCTCTGGCATTGAGTGTCCATGGTCGGCGGTATCACTTAACATCAGGTGAGCCTCCTGCACGTTTGCCTCCTTTTCTATAAAAAAAACTTCAATGCATTTCATGACCATGTTCGAACTGATGATAATTGAAATATAAGTATACATTTTCTTTGTGCTTATTCTGAAACTAATATTTTAATGAAAATTATCTTTTTCATAGAAAAACGAAAATGTTAACCGATTGATAACACGAGTGCCGGATCGGCAAAGCCAAACGGGTGACACTGTAAGTGGTTACGTCCAGGATCTTCCATCTGTGTTTTTATTTTTAGTTATTTCTGTGGAGAACTTCTCTAATGAATGTGCAACCTCTTGGTAGTAACTAGCAGATATCTGTTGTCCTGTTTAGTTGAATTCCTTCGATGTGGCTGCGATGAAGATTGATGTAACCTCTACGGCTTTTGTAACTTCTTGGTAGATCTAGTAGAGCTATCTGTGTCTATATCTTCCTTCGATGTTCCTCTATTGTCTTTACCTTTGACTAAATCCTCACATTTGTCCTTAGGGCTCATGCGCGTGTTGGCTGCCTCTCGGCACCCGAGTCAAAATGGATGAGACCGGATGGACGATACTTAGAATTCTCTCACAGAGACACAGCGACGAAGTTGCTCGCGAATTCGTAAAGCTCAAATCTGAAATGCGAGCTGAAGCACCAACAGGAACTCCAGGGCCCACGTGAACGTAAGATGCGATCTGCGGCGAATAGATCAGATCTTCCAATCATTGGCAACTGGTTATACTGGTTGTGATAAGTTATCAATAGTCCTTAAAGCGAACGATTTTTACGTGGACAATGATACTACGAGGCGCTCCGGCGGTTACTGGTCAGGTCTAGGGACGAATCTTTTAACGAGCTACTAACTCTGACGGCGATCGATCAGTCAGGGTTTGAATATACCTCGTCAAAAGGTGGATAACCTGGGGCGTATTACGTTCGATACAATCTCCTAGAGATTCGTTTTTGTAAATATTTACGGTGTTAAGTTGTCGCGACTAGTAGGAATATTTTGCACAAACTCGTAAAATTAGCGAAAAAGACTGACCGTAGGCGGCCGGGCGCTTTGTCCATCGACGTTTAGGTATTCGACGAGATTTTTCCTCGAATACTCTCGCTATAGAAAATTTCTAAAAGTATAAAGCAGATATTCTTGTAGATTTCATTGTTTCTTCCATAGCGACGTTTTACTATCGCAGTATAAGATTTTTATAGGCATTAGATATTTTGTTGGATACCTAAATGCGATGGACTCATGCGATTAATGTACTAATCTGTTTATGGACCAAACTGTCGTTAATATGAATGCATACCTTATCCTTACGTAAATAATAAATCAACATTATTTATCTAATTAATCATCTAATTGTTATACGTGTACAGTTAATATGATATGGCCTTATGTGAATTTCTTTTGATGCTTCTGATGAGAAAATGAAATGTAAACAGGCTAAATGATTTTTCACTTGCAAATATAAATATTATACACATAAAACAACAAAATCAACAGGTTTGATTATCAACATTTTGGATTGAAGTTTTATAATACAATATTAAGATAAATAATGGTAAAATTACGATAATACCTATTCAAATCTCCAAAAAATGATTATTTGAAGTAAATTTACTAACCAAAGTTAAATAAAATAAATAAAGTTTTGAAGTCATACTATAATATAATCTATAGCAGTATTTAGCTTTTAGTGTTTTGTTTTTAATAAACTTTGTTTGATATCCGTTATTTGAGTTATCGCTTTGTTTCCTGTTTTCTTAAGTAAGAAGTCTATTGCAAGTCTAAAATCACTGAACCTGTTAAGAGTGCTTGTATTCGAGTGAATTTAAATTTAGAATTGTTCTTTTAGGTGAATGTTCAAAACTGTTTGAGATGTTAATTTAAATGTTTGTCATAGCCTTCTCATTTCATTGTATTGTGATCAAATTATATGTAAATAAAAAAAAACGTTAATACGCGTTCACTTACTCGCTATTTATTTACGCTTGACCTTAATATCTAAATAATCCCACGTCCTTTTGTGTAAATTATTGAAAATTGTGATATTGTTATATCTAAACTGTCGTGTTATAAAACCTGTTTCATAGTTTGTGAGTGTTGTTACATTTCGTTCTAATTTATTTGTCCGAATCGGGGATGTAAGCGCCTTAACTTTCTATTGGCTTAATTGAGCTTATACAAATTGAATCTTAAGTTATCTGCTTTAAGGCTTACTATCCCCTGGACATGTTTATCCATATATTATAGTATAAAATGTTTAAAATATAATGTATATTAGACATTCAGTGCTCAAAATACTTTTTTGTTAGTGTTGCGTTGTCAGTCCAGTTGTTTGTAATCACGGTGTTTGGTACACATATTATAAAAGTATATTTTCAGTACCGCTGAAACGTGAATACCTCGAATTGTATACGAGAACTTTGTAACAAGTTTTGATCTGAATTTACAAGAAATTAAAACGTTATTTTAAGAATTCCAGTTTACATCGTATGTCGCATTATAAAATTAATAAGTCTTTAAACCTTTGCAAAACTACAAACAATATTTTTAACATAACTTCGAGTCAAATTTCAACTCATTTTCATATTAATGCAATTTAAAAGTATTATGTTTAGAAATTATATATACGATATTATTATAAAGAAACTGTATGAAAAGGACGTTGCTTTAGAAAGGTAACACCACCATACAAATCTATGAACTAATTTCTATATACTTCCAACTATGTATAAGCGGTATTGAAAATATATAAAAGCACCTCATTCCGGCACGAAAATTAGATTTTCAATTAATTATAGTATTTATCATGGATTACATATCTGTAGATAGAGGAAGTGGTCGTCTAGTCCAGAACTCTATAATATATTTAAAATATATTTACGCGATTTTAATTCAAGTCTATTTTTTGTATTTCTGATACTGATGATTTAATTATCATATATCTTTAATTACCTTGCTATTACCATTTTCGGAAATGTACCTGCAATTTTATTGTTTTTTTTATTAATTCGACTTTATCGTGGCATAGATATGTTGAATGAGAAATATTGATAATTAAATCACCCGTTTTCTTCAAATTCGACTGAATCTTTCTAATGAAATAGTTGATTTCCATATTTTCATATTTGTTTTACAGCACTTTAAATATTTTAGATTAGCCACAGATATCTCTTATTTTGTTGATCCTTTGATACTTAATGTTGTTTAGTAAATTACTTTATAGATAAAATGTCCCAAGAATTTTAATTTCAACAGAAACATACATTTTATGATTAATTTAAAATATATTATGTCTTATTAATTTATATTTCCTCGTAAAATCCATATGTTAACGAAGTGCAGTCGGCGTGAGATATTTATTTTGCCTTGATTCGATGATTGCTTCAATTCACATTGTTTAATTTAAATTTAGCCAAATTCTTTCTTGGGACATTTAGAAGTTTCTGTAGTGAAAGTAAAGAGTGGTTAGAGTTTATCAAATAGATTATTTTATTAGCATTATTATGTTCCCATTCAACGTACAACTCACATGACCCTAGAAATCGCAACAGTCAATCAAGTGTAGCAAGATATAGCCGTTTCGCTTTTTGGTGTGAAAAGGAAAGAGTCGACTATATTTTCCTATATTGGTTTTGTTGGAATTATCAATATATTAAGAACCATTGCATTGGAATTGTAGTGCCTATATTATATCAGGATTCAAATTCGTTAAAAAGCGCACAGTGTCATTCATTACCATTGTTGTAACAAATAAATACCTTTACCAATTGACAATACTTGGTAATTATAATTTTTAAGAATATGATGCCCTGCATCTTGTAAGTCGGTTACGCTCCAATTCTAGTAATAAATCACTAAACATTGCATATATCTTTGTAAAAACGCATATATGTAAATGTTACATGTTTAAACACATTATTGAATTTAGAATTTTTATGAAAAAAAAATAAATATCCGTATTTCAAATATAACTTTTGGTTTTATTTTCCTTGATTTTATTCAGTTGTGTATGTGAACAAATCTAGGGAAAATATATTTTGCTTCTGGACTGAATTTGAGGATCTTATTGTGAGGATTGTAATCAAGTGCCAGAAATAAAATCATAATAGGGTTTATATTAGAGTGAGTTCAGATATGTTATTGGATTTATAAGTAATTTTTATTCTTAGTTATATTGTAAGGGCCCAAGCAGTTGCTTTGACAGGAAATCTGCTTCCATACTTTTAGTAAATAGGTATTTCGAAAGCGCGTAATTGCAACTTTCCTTCATCAATGCTATTGGCTAATCACAATCATTGAACTATTATGTATGAACACCAAATATCAAAATAAAAGACAAAATCGTCATATTTATTTGTTACTTACATAAGGTAATGTTAACTATTACTTATAATCACATAAAACGACAGAAATTCACCAATAGCTAATGCAGCGTTCAATATAATAATGGTTTAATTTAAAAATCAAGGAGATTATTTAGTTTAACGGTTTCACGAACCAACTGTTCAAATTGAAAAGTTGTGGTGTTGGAAAATTAATGAAACATACATATACATCCCTTAGAAAGCCTCAAATGTCTGTACATATCTGTTTCGTGATCACTTGTTTTTTTTCTAATGATAAAGGTTAATCAGCCTTATGTGTCTGACCCATACCATCGGCTTTTCGCGTCTAAGGCATATTTTTCTCACGATGGTTCCCTTTACAGTACGAGTGAGTGCTAAATGTAAACTTAGAGAGAAAACCCATTGGTGCACAGTTGGGGACCGAACCTACGACCTCAGGGATAAGAGTCACGCTGAAGCAACTAGATCGACACCGCTCTTTGATTAGTCCATTTATCAAGTAAATCTAAATATTGTTTTATAAAAATTATTTGTTATTTATTACATGTCACAACTATTCAGAATTATAAACTGTTTAAAATATTTACAAAGGTCGCAGCTGTAGTAAACAGTCTTATAAAACTTTAAGCGGACGTAACAATCAGTTGACCTGAACTATTACGTCCAATTGCAAAATAGAACTCGAAGCTGTTCATTTCCTATGTACTGAACGTTCGTGGTACGAAGTAAGCTCGTCGACAACCATTCACTTTTCGAGCGGCTTGATCCCTTGGCGTTGCGTACAGATCTGGGGTATCTCTACACCTTCTACCGCATGATGGCATGATTACCACGGAAAGTGTTCAGAGGAGTTGGTCGGATATATACCTGCAGCTAAGTTTCGTTATCGGACTTCAAGGCAGAATATGAAATACCATCCGTATCACCTCGACGTCTCGACGAAAGAAGTTTTGCCGCGCACCACCACTATGTAGAACGAGCTGCCCACTGAAGTATTTCCGAACTTATTCGAGTTAGGGTCCTTCAAAAAAGAGCGTACCAATTCTTATAGGGCCGGCAACGCACTTGCGAGGCTTCTGGTGGTATTAATTAACATCTGATGACCCTCTTGCCCGTTTGCCCCCTGCGCAATAACTATTCAGAATGGAAATCTATATCTCTATCTCTCTATTCTCTATATCTAAAAATATACTTTAAGTATTTAGTTAGATAAAAAAAATGTTCCCTATTCCACTCACGGGTGAATACACAACGATCCAGAGCGCACCATTCCTTTCAAAACATTCCTTGTGATTCACGAAGCCCTTTCATGAAATTCCAACACA